AGATGTAGTTGTTCACAAGGCTGCTTTCATCTCTGGGTCTTTGCCCTTTTTGGAGATTTGGAGAATAGGCTAAAAGAGTCAATATTAAAAAAAAAAAAAAATACTGGAACTAGAGATGACTCAGTGACAAGGGCACAGCAAGGCTTGAAGTTCAATGGGCAGCTTCACAGCCTCCAGAAACCCCATCTCCAGGGGATCTGTTCCTCTGAGTGTGTCTGCACTCATTCGCATAACCCCCCCCCCACACACACACACACACTCCCACCCTTTTTCAAGACAGTTTGTATAGCCTCTGCTGTCCTGGACTCACTCTGCAGACCAGGTTGGCCTCAAACTTAAGAGATCCATCTTCCTCTACCTCCTGAATGCTGGGATTGAAGGTGTGCACCACCACCCAGCCACACATAAAATAGTTTCTTTGCTTAAAAATGGAAGAATCTGTGTGTGGGGGGGAGGGGGGAGTGGCGCACGCCTTTAATCCTAGCACTCAGGAGGCAAATGCAGGCGGCCCGCCTAGTCTACAGAGCTAGTTCCAAGACAATCAAGGCTATACACACACACACACAAACACACACACACAAAGAAAGGAAGAAAAGAAAGAATCCAACCATCACCAGATAGTGTGTTCTCGGCTGAGGTATCATCAGAGACCACTCTGGGCACTTTACATCTCACACCTACACACAAACTCCTAGATTTACATGTGTGGTCACCCTAAGGTTAGCAATCACATGATTTCCTTTTGGTAACACTGGAAGGAAATCGGGTGGCAGCTAGTCAGCTCCCTGTAGGAAACAAGCCTATGGTACCTGTCAGGGGCATGCCCGGGGCTCTTGATGTTTTCAACTACAATCTATGCTTGCAGGACGTACACTGTAGCATTTGAGCAGAACTAAGATTTAAAGAAACAAAACTCCAGCAAAAACAACATAAACACCACTGTACTCCTCGGAAGGGGTGGGGTGGCTCATGTCTGAATCCACAGCACTGAGAGGCTGATGATGCAGGATCATGTGAGTTCCAGGCTAGCCTGCACCATAGTGAGACTTTTGATGGTGGCCACCATGGTATTCAAAGCATTAGTTATGCTATCAAACAAAGCACAATTCAGGAAAACAGAGGCATGACATCCTCCGTGGCTAAGCTGTTGAATACCTTTAGCTTTCCAGCTTTTTTCAGGCTTCTACTGATTTTATCAAGTACAATAGTTACAAATGTGTAACACTCTGGGGCTATGTTGCAGTGGTCCTTGACTGATGTAAGTGCATCCTTTCACACTTATAACTTCAAGAGCCAAGTTCAGTCCTCCTGGTGCCCCAGGCACCTTGGGCTGGATTCCCCTCTGACAACCACTCTATGGTTTCCATAACAAGTGCTCTCCAAGTAGCTCTGTACCCCCAGGCACCACCAGGTCTCTAGTGGCCAGCAGCTCAAAACTGTTTATAGGTGGTTTTGGGGCCCTTAACCCTTAAGGACTCAGGCCCCTTTGGCAGTTAACTTTGAATCTTCACCCACTGGTTGCATTAAGTTAGGATGAGCCACGGTTACAGGAAAAAGCCAAACCCTCTATAGTGGGCCAGAAGCAGGGTCGGAGACATAAAATAAATAAGTCCTGCTTCTGTTCTTCCCACTGCATCACACCATCTAACAGCTGAGAAAGGTAGTACAGGTTTTCTGGCATCTCTCCCCAAAGTGGGTGGAGGCAGTATTATGTAGTCACTTCAAGCGAAAAGCTCACCTATTCCTCATTCTCTCAACTATGCGTAAAAACAAACCCAAAACACTGTTATCAAAAATGCCTGAATAGCAGCTGTGTGTAACCCCAAAGCTCAGGAGTTACACCATGTGGTCTACACAGCAATACCTTGTCTCAAAAAGGCCTAAGGACAGCAGCTGCACTTTTTAGTATCTCCACTGGGGAAAGAAACCCTACTGTCCCTTAGTAACTTATGTCTAAATTACTGTGGAATATTCCTCCCCTACACCTTGCTGTAAGTCAAAGATCCCTGCACGGCTCTTACCTTAACTCTTGCCTTTTAGTCTTCCTGCCGGATATAAACACCAATGACACAAAACAGCTTTGAAGCGGTCAGAGCTAATTCCTATGATCTCATCCTAGCTTCTTGGTGCCTTCTGTGTTGCTGGCATGTCTCATCACATGCCACTTAACTCGCTTAACACTTTGCAATCCACAGGATACATGCTTTCTCCTTGGTCGCAGTATTTGACATCAGAAAATTTGGAAATATAGCAAGCAAATTATTGATTACAAATCAGTCAGTCCTAGAGGTGGGAATGCAGCTCAACTGCAAAGCATTGGTACTCACATGCCGAAGTCCCTGCTGGATGGGACCTAGATCCTCAGCCTGAGAAGTGCTGTCCTGGAGGGTCCCTGAAGGGCTGTAACCCTCAGCAAAGGAGCTCAGCATTTCTGGGTCTGCCCTGGGATAAGATGCCCACTTATCTTAACCCAAAGATGGACAGGGCTCATCTGTCAAGTTTTTGAACGTCAGGAAGTTTATTTGCCAAGTATCCATAGATACTACCTCCCCACATCATTCTGGCATCAGGATGTGGGCATCCACAAACTTCACACTTTATAGAAACCACTTGGAAGGTCTGAGGGAAACCTACAGTTGTCAACAATCTCCCTGTTTGTGATCCTGTCTACCCACTTGGTGATGCACACAATTAGGGACATTAGGGATGAATATCCCCAACTGTCCCACCCCCCTAGATGCTCCATGCCCTAAATTAAGAGCCAAGACTAACATCCAATTTCACCCTTCAACTCCAACACTGCTTCCACTGAGCCAAAACCTGTTTTACAATTTCAGTAAAGTCAACTTTAGGCTGGAGAGACAGCTCAATTCCCAGTGCCTGTAAAAGCCAATGCCAAGAGGGTATAACACCTATCTTCTGCAGAAACAGAACTAAAAAAATCAACAAATGTAGTTGGGTGTGATGGTACACGCATTTATTTTTTGGTTTTTTTCAAGACAGGGTTTCTCTGTGTAGCTTTGGAGCCTATCCTGGCACTCGCTCTGGAGACCAGGTTGGCCTCAAACTCAGAGATTTGCCTGCCTCTGCTGGGATTAAAGGTGTGCACCATCAACGCCCAGCATGGTACATGTCTTTCATCCCAACACTCAAAAGCATGGAGGCCAACCTGGTCTGAAGAGCTAGTTCCAGAAACCCTCAGAAAACAAACATGAAGACATCTCAACTGTACAAAATACAGCTGGACCCCATTCAGGGAGGCACATCTGTTAAAATCAAATGTTAATATAATTGAATACAGGATCTAAATTTGACAACACAAACATGAATATGGAAGAGCATGGCAAAGCTTAACAGCCGTGTAGGAAACATCACAATAAACTGCCATTTGTCAGATGTGGTGATGTCTTCAATCCTGCACTAGGGAGTACAGATCCGAGTTCAAACGTTAGCCTATACAGTGAGTTCCAGGCCAGCCAAGGGCTACAAAGTGGTACCTTCAAAGAACAAAGCCATCATTTTGTACACCAGTCCTCCTTTCAATACAAACATCAACAAAACGCTAATAGTATAGCAGATCCTTACACTTCCTAGCTTCTAGAATATTAAACTTATCCCTTCTCTATAATAAAGGCTTCAGTGGCACTTTACCACCAATCTAGCAGTTTCCAAGTGTTTATAGAGTAGCTGTGAGACTGTAGATATGTCGGACAGAGTGCTTGCCTGGCACACTTAAATCTCAGCACAAAGGGAGTGAAGGTCATACCCAGTCACACAGCAAGTTCCAAGCTACTCTGGTGAACAGGAGACCCCAGTCTTTTGGGCATTTAAAAAAAAACAAAAACAAAAAACCGGAGACAGGGTTCCTCTGTAGACCAGACTAGCCTTGAACTCCAGAGATCAGCCAACTTCTGCTTCCCAGTACTGAGTTCAAGGCCAGTTTGGTCTAGAGAATGCATTCCAGGACATCCAGACTATACAGAGAAACCCTGCCAAAAATAAATGAATTTGAGGGTTGGGCATGATGGTGTATGCCTATAGTCCCAGCACAGAAGCAGGTGGATGATCTCTGTGAGTTTGAAGACTGCCTGGCCTGCCTAAGAAGTTCCAGGACAGCCAGAGACCCTATCTTGAAAATCAAAAATTTAAAACACAAATGGAAAACTTAAAATGTCTTTTTGTGTGTGCTCCCATAGGTACCACCAACTGTTTTTCTTAGTGTCTCTCACTAGGACTTGGTACTCCCCATTAGGCTAGCTGGCCACAGCCGCTGTCATCTGCCGGCATTGACGTAATGAGCATTGAACTAGGCCCTCACACTAACAAAGCAAGCACCTCACCTGTATCTTGTCCCCACAATAGCCTATTTGATCACTATCTGAATGTCCTGGGGAGGGAAAGAAAGAAAAAAAAAAAAAAACACTGGTTACAGAGATCTTTACATCCAAAAGAAGCCAACTTTTAAAATTTCACGCACAAAATCTTTTTGTACTTATGTGCCTAGTAGTGGTTTTAGGATTACTGCTTCCACAAAGGTGGAAGACTTGCTCCAGGAAACACAGCTAATAAAGGGAGACAGCTAATAAAGGGAAGAGTGGGAATCAAGTCAATTTGCCTGTGAGATTTGTCTGACACAGCCTCCCAACCTCCTCATTCTAAAGGCAACTCAACTCTTTAGCACCACACCAGAAGCTTGTAGTCCCTTCACCACACCGTCAAGTCACAAACAAGGGACACTCACTGGGACATGGGGCACTGCACCCAGCCCTTAATTACAACCAAATCCAAACCCTAACCCCCCAATACCTCTCAAAGCCCATTTAAACAAGGACCACTGCACCACAGCCCCTCCACAGGGCATGCAAGCACAATGCTGGGTTCTGAGCTGCAGGTTAACACTGGAGTCCAGGACGAAGGCTGCCACCAGCAATCTCATCGAGGCTCTGAGGTCCAGGGTTTGAATGTGGCTGGATGCCTTTCACAAACACAACAGTAACAAGTATTTCTGAGAAAAATTTTTATTGGCCTTTTGAATAAAATTTATTTGCCAGGAAGGATGATCCCATCATACTGAAAGAGAAGAGATTGTATTTTTCAGAACAGGAGGCAACAGCAAGAACTACAACAATTCTGACTCCAGCTACCTACACTCAGACCTGGGCCTTCCTCTCAACCACCAACCCTGGGAGTCATTTAACAAATTGGCCAAATAGCCTATTTTTAAACGAGCTACCCACCAAATAGCACTTATTTCATAGCTCCCAATCCCAGTAAGTCACCAACACCACCAGCTCACTTGAGATAATTCAGCTTTACCTTCTGCTGGAACCAGCGCATGGCCTCCTCTTTGCTGATTCTGTGTTTGGCCCCAATGCAGCCTGTCCTGCGCTTCTTGTCTGCGATGCTGAAACCTGGCCTACCCAGCACCTGTGCCAGGAATAACCAACAGTCATCTAGCAAGCTTAGGATCAACGGTAGACAGACAAGACTCACACACTGGAGACTCATCTTCAAGTCACCTAGAAACTTAACAGACTCTGACATCTCCAAGCTGGCAGAACTGTCATTAGCTTCCCAGACAACACCACAGCACACAGATGCTCTGCAGACTGGAATCACCACCACCCATTTCCAAGCATATTGAGGATCCGCACGGCTCCCCAATAACCTTCCAACTCCAGTCTCTGAAGGGTTCTGATTCCCTTGCTCTTTTTGGCCTCCACAGGCACCAGGCACACACATGGTGCAGAAACACACAAAAGGCAAAAGCATCCATAGACATAAAAATAAGACTTGGCGTGTGTGGGTCACAACAACACACCCAGCTGAGTGTGCCAGTAGATTATTATTTTTATTATTCAGTTTCGAGACAGGGTTTCTCTGTGGCTTTGGAGGCTGTCCTGCAACTAGCTCGTTGACCAGGCTGGTCTCGAACTCACAGAGATCCGCCTGCCTCTGCCTCCCCAGAGCTGGGACTAAGGCGTGCACCACCACTGCCCAGCTTAACACATAGGGAGATTGAGGCAGGGAGTTCAAGACCTGCTTGGGCTACAAACCAAGGGCCCTACCTCAAAACAAAAACCTACATCACGTGCAATGTGGAAAATTTTAAGTTCTAAAAAGCACAAAGAAAACACATATTCACTCCCCTTTGCTCAAAGCACTTCCCAAAGCTCTGCTGCCCTAGCCTCTGATTCCTACCCCAGATGTCTAGGGGGTCTCAATCTTAGGTGTTAAGGTTTCTCACTTTTACTCTTAGGAAAGAAAAACATGGCGGTCATTTCCACATGAAAACCCCACCTGAGCACATGTGTGTACCACCCCCATCTGCTTCTGTGTCCACAGCAAGGGAAACAGTGGAGACAGGGCTGCCTCAGTGCAGCCAGGCGCAGCATAGCACCACAGCCCAGACAGCTTTGCAATGGCAGGGACCAGTCTATTTTGTGTATGCTGAACTTCTACATCTGCCACAAACAAGCCCCTTCCTCCCGAGGGGACACATGAGCAGACAAGACACAAGGCTTCAACCCAGCACACCAACACCCCAACAGCAAGACAGCACAGCACGTGTGATGGACAGAGAGGAGCAGCGGGCGCCCGTCCTCGTGGGAAAGGATAAAGAGCCATACCACATAGAAGTCCAGGCCATAGATCCCAATGCTCGGGTCATACTTGATGCCCAGATCAATGTGTTCCTGAATCCCAAAGCCAAAGTTTCCGGTGTCTGAGAAGTTATTTTTCCGTAATTCATACTCCCGCACCTGAGGGGGAAAAAAACAGCAATCATGTTACTTGCCATGTTCAAGTGCCACACCAATAGATGCTCAAATGAACACCCAGTAGGGCCAGAGCAAAACCAGTCTGTGCAACCTGGCCTTGCCAGATCTGTCCACACAGGGGTCAGCCTCACCTTCAGACCTTTCTCCAGAATTTCTTCTGCCTTGGCTCCACGGACAGTGCAGTGGACGGCAATCTTTTCATTTCTCCTGATGCCAAAGGACCTGACGGTGTATCTGGCTGCAGGGAGAGGACGGACTCAGGTAATGTCATACTTGCACTGCTCACTTCTCCCCCAAACAGTAGCTTTCTGATCCGAGCACCCACTCACATTCTAAGTGGTTGGTGTTCCAATGTGTCAATCAACTCCATCTCTAACACAGATAACACATCTTTCAATTTCTAATTTACCCAGCCATATTTCAGGACTAAGAACCTGCAACATTAAAGCCTCCTGAGTTCATGGCCATAAGAAGTCAGAGGCACAAGAAAAGAACGGTTCAGAGAATTTCAAATGCAGCCCAGGCTAGCCCTTAACTAGCAGCAATCCTTCGTCAGTCTGTGTAATGGGATTACAGTGTAGGCTACGCACCCAACTGACCATGGTACTCAAGAAAACATGGCTTAAATGTGAAGGAACCTGGATTTAATATCCAGTATGGGGCATGGCAAGGGACAACCGTAGGGTATCCTGAAGAACACACTTGATAAAAGCTGCTGTTTTTCCAAAAGCTTACTGTACTCTATCATCACAGTACAAATGTTCTGAGGTTAGCTTGCTCAAGCTCACTGGAGGTACCAGTAAGACACGGTATATAAAGCCACATCACAGACCAACCATAACCCACTTGCAACAGGATCCGTGCTTCCCTTAGGCTCAACATCTAATGCCACAGAACGAGGGGGTCACGATTCTTTTTATGTAAATAAGAAAGCGAAGGTAAAGCCTAACTGAGGCACAGTTAGGTCACACCAGTTTTTTGATTAGGTGAACCAAGGCCCTCTGCCCACCCCTCCCAGGCAGCCTGCCATCACGCACCTTTGGAAAACACCGGTGTCTGGCCCGTGAGCTGCTCCAACACCTTGGCCGCCCTGGTCAGCCTATCTCCGCTCTCCCCAACACAGATATTGAGGCAGAGCTTGCGGATGCGAAGTTCCCGCATGGGGTTCTCCTTTTCACCTTGATCTTGCTGCAAGACAGGGAGGGACACAGCAGTCAACACCCTCACGGCCCGCCAAAGCCGAGAGAGGCCAGTGTCATCACCACTGGCACATCTTACTGATTTCCCTCGTCCCCAATCCTACGATCGCCCTCATAAAAAAGGTCTCAACCTATTTGGTTAGGAAGCAGGAAGGGAGGTCAGTTCGGGAGTAAGTGTGGCTCCACGCGCGGGGCGGAGTAAGCCTGGGCCTAAGGGCGTCGATGTGAAGGGAACAGAGACTACGGCTTACATAATGCCGATCAGACAAGAGAAAATACACCGTAGCCCCCCAAAACGAAAAACCCACAGGACACACGCGCCTGTGCCACATCCGCTCCCCCTTCCGAAGCTGTCTGCGGCCTTGGGCGTGGGAACCCGCAGAAGCTGCCCAGCACCAACCAGCTTCAAGTCCCCGGGACTGAGAGCCGACACGGAGCTCGGCACGTTCCGCTCCCGCTCACTGCAGCCCCAGACCCTGCCGTCTGGGTCCCCGGGGCCGCTGACCTGAACGCCTTCCTAGAACGGGAGGCGATGTGACAGGCGAGCCGAGCCCTGCGCCCCCGGCCCGCACAGCCCTGCCGGTCCCAGGGCCGCCAGCATCGCGGGCTCCGTCCTCCCCCGGCAGCAAAGCCCTCGTGGGCTCCGCCGGCCTCGGATGGCGATGGATGAAAAGGAGGCAGAGCCAGCTCTCGCTTACTCACCGACATGATGGGCAAACAGGAAGAGAAGGCAGAACTTCCGGCCCGGTGGCCTTATGGGGCAGGAGGCGGGCTTTTTATCTGGGCTCACAAACGAGATGACAGTGAGAGGAGGGACTGGCGCAGCACCCCCTAGTGGACTGTACTGGGAACTGCAGTCATCTCTGGAGGAAGACCAGGTCTTGGGTATATCCTTGAATCCTTAACTCCATGAACAGTCTCAGGACCTGGTGGTTCTTGAGTGATGACACTGCCCAAGGTTCATTAAACCAGTTGTGCAATGGGCTAGAGAGAAGGCTCAACAGTTAAGAACATTGCAGTTCTTGAAAAGGGCCTTGGTTTGGTTCCCAGCATGTACACGGGCATCTCAAAACTGTCTGCAACTCCAGTTCCAGGACGACAGACGCCTCTTCTGGCATCTACAGGCACCAAGTACTCAAGTGGTGCATATACATACCTGCAGGCAAAACACCCATATACATTAAAATAAACAAAAATTAAAAAATAAATAAATTACCGGGCGGTGGTGGTGCACACCTTTAATTCGAGCATTCGGGAGGCAGAGGCAGAAGGATCTCTGTGAGTTCGAGGCCAGCCTGGTCTTCAAAGAGAGTTCCAGGACAGTCTCCAAAACCTACAGAGAAACCCTGTCTCGAAAGAAAAAAAAGTACAGATTATAATCAATTTATAATGTAATATGTTAACATAGAAGTTATTCAAATCAGAGTAATGGCTTAAGAGTCCTGAGCTGAGCTGGGCAGTGGTGACGCCTTTAATTCCAGCACCCAGGAGGCAGAGGCAGGCGGATTTATGTGAGTTCAAGGCTAGCATAGTTTACGAAGCTACACAGAGAAACCCTATCTTGAAAAAAAAAAAGAGTCCAGAGCTGATAGTCAGTGATGGCACACACCTTTAATCCCAGCAGTTGGGAAGCAGAGGTAGGCAGATAGATCTCTGTGAATTCAAGGCCAGCTTACTCTACAGAGCAAGTTCCAGAACAGTCACAACTACACACAGAGACCCTGTCTCAAAAAATAAAACAACAAAACAAAACAAGAGTCCCCAGCTGGAGAGATGGCTCAGAATACTTGTTCTTCATACGGAGGACCTGGGTTTGATTCCCAGCAACCATCTGGAGGTTCACAGCATCTGTATCTACAGTTCCAGGGCACCTGATGACCTCTTCCCCTTGTGTAAAATAGGTGCTTCTGTGTCATAGGTTACTGTGACAAGTTAGTGAGTTGGGTAAGTGTTTATCTTTTTTTTTTTTTGGTTTTTCGAGACAGGTTTCTCTGTGGCTTTGGAGGCTGTCCTGGAACTAGCTCTTGTAGACCAGGCTGGTCTCGAACTCACAGAGATCCACCTGCCTCTGCCTCTCCTGAGTGCTGGGATTATAGGCGTGCGCCACCACTGCCCGGCAAATGGTTATCTTTATGATTAATACAAACCTACTCTCTCAGAGAGGCAGGGGGGAGGACATCTTGTAAGATGGCTTGCAGAAGCATCTGAGACAGGAACATCAGTTTCAGACTGTAGGACTCCGGCCCCCCCACCATCAGTGAGGGGGTCACATGGACTCTCAGTAGCTGAATGGAAGGATAAGGACCACTAGGATCCACAGCCCAGGCTTAGCTGGCTTGGAGTCAGCCAGTTCCTCTAGCAGGAATACATGGGCAAAGAACACACGTATCTTGAAAAAGCCAAACGTCTCCTTCTCCTGCCACAATCCCCCTTACCTACCTACACAAGGGAGACAGAAGCCCCCAGCCTTTTCATGTTCTGTGCAGGTGGTGAAGAGGGCTTTTCTGGGAAGCTGGGGGATGGCAGACAGCAAAGAGAACAGGCTTTCCTCTTAACCTCTGCCACTGAGTGCCGATGGCCAGATCAGAATAGGCCTGTCAGTTAGACAAGATGACTCAGCAGGTAAAGTCCTCACCATGCAAGCCTGATGACCTGAGTTCAATCCCCAGAACCCATGTAAAGGTGGGAGGAGAGCACCAACCTCACAAAATTGTCTTGTAATCGTCACATACCTGCCAGGGCACAGGCAACCTATACATATATATAGTTAATTATAATTAATTAATAATTGTTTCAAGAATTTCATACTGATATATATCATCTCCACTCCTGCCTCTTCTCCACAGCTCATCCCACCTGCCTCTACTTCCTTTCAAACTTGTGGCCTCCTCTTCAGTTATTACTGGTGTGTGTGTGTGTGTGTGTTGTGTGCACGTGCACGCGTGCAGCACACTAAGTCCATTTAGTGTTGCTCAGATATACATGTGCTTAGGTCTGATCACTTGGGATTGGATAACTCACCAATGAGATTGCACTGGAGAAAACTGGTCTCCTGCTAAGTCTGAAGACCTCAGTTTGAGCCCCAAAGCTCACATGGTGGGAGGAGAGAACTGACTCCTACAGCTATCTTCTGGCTCCCAGAAGCATGCTATCACACCTATATATGCCGCATTAATTTAAACTTAAAAATGTAATTGAGGGGCTGGGCGGTGGTGGCGCACGCCTTTAGTCCCAGCACTCAGGAGGCAGAGGCAGGCGGATCTCTGTGAGTTCGAGACCAGCCTGGTCTACAAGAGCTAGTTCCAGGACAGCTTCCAAAGCCACAGAGAAACCTGTCTTAAAAAAAAAAAAAAGTGATCTCAGCATTTGGGATCCCCTGTCTTTAATCTCAGCACCAGAGAGGTGGAGACAGGCATGGTATGGCTGGGCAGACAGAGGAGACAGGAGCTCAGGGGCAGTCTGAGGTTTGGTGGGGACAGATGTAGTCTGGAGATGTAGTATGAGGGCAGGATCGCCCTTTCAGTCTGAGCATTGGTAGAGGCAAGAACTTTATAGTGGCTGGCTGCTTTGCTTCTCTAATCTTCAGCATTAACCCCAATATCTGACTCTGGGTTTTTATTATTAAGACCAACTAGAATTCATGCTACAGAAGAAGATTGCTCATGGACCACTGGGTGGCTAAGAACCAAGTCAGAAGATTATAACTCCAGCTCTCCATGAAGGTGGAGTGGAGACTGGCTCTTCAATTGGACTTGAAAACTCACTTGTTTCTCTGCTACTTCACAGATCCACACCAGCCTAGGAGGTCAGCATCATCTCCATGTTAAAGACGGATAAATGTGGTCTCTGATATCTCAGTGACTTCTTTGGAGTTGGGCCTGAACCCTGACGTTGAGTACAATGGCCACAAGCCATTGTATTATTTTAGCCTCTAGAACTTAATAAATCCTAATAACTGTTCAGGACATGAGAACAGGCCCTCCCCTGCTTTTTTTTTTTTTAAGATTTTATTTATTTATTATGTATACAACATTCTGCTTCCATGTATATCTGCACACCAGAAGAGGGCACCAGATCTCATAACGGATGGTTGTGAGCCACCTGTGGCTGCTGGAAATTGAACTCAGGACCTTTGGAAGAGCAGTCAGTGCTCTTAACCTCTGAGCTCTTAACCTCTCTAGCTCCCCCCGCCCCTGCTTTTTTTTAGACTGGGTTTCAGGCATCCCAGAGTGGCCTTGAACTTTCTAGGTAACCAAGGATGACCTCCTGCCTCTACTTCCTGAGTGCCAGGACTTCAGGAATGCACGGCCATGATTCATGCAGTGTGGTAGACCAAACCCAGGGCCTTGTTCATGCAAGGTAAGCACTCTACTAACCGAGATACGTCCCTCTCCAAAAACCCGCTTAGTAGCTGGGAGTAGTGGTGCCCATCTTTAATCCTAGCAATCAGGAGGCAGAGATAGAATGTTGTGGGTCTTGAACTCAGAACCTCTGGAAGAGAAGCCAGTGCTCTTAACCTTTTAGCCATTTCTCCAGTCCCTGCTGGGATTTGAACCCAGGATCTCCTGCCTGCTTTTCCAGAGGTCCTGAGTTCAGTTCCCACAACAGTATGGTGTTTCTGTGATTTAGTTAGCCTTGCAGGGGTGGAAGGCTCTGCAGGCTTTGTGGTTGTCAGGGAAACATCTAGGTAATGTAAGAATGAAACTCAGTTCAGTTTCACTTAGAAACTGTCACTGTTTCGAACTTCAAGAGTCTGATACCAGTTGGTTTATTTTAGCCATATTTAAGCACAGCACAATTTCGTGAAAAGGTGTACTGCTAATTAATTCACTCCCAAGTGCCCAACATTTTTTGTTTCTTTTTGTTTTTCGAGACAGGGTTTCCCTGTGTAGCTTTGGAGCCTGTCCTAGAACTAGCTCTTTGTAGATCAGGCTGGTCTCCAACTCACAGAGATCCACCTGCCTCTGCCTCCCAAGTATTGGGATTAAAGGCGTGTGCCACTAATGCCCAGCAGTGCACAACAAACTTAAGACATGCTTACATTAAAATTCTTACGGAAGTACATCTGGCTTCTCTCATTAAGATGGGTACTGTTGACTCAGAAAGTGCCCAAGATTCAGGATCTAGGGAAAATGACTGAGGTAAACAAAAGGTGGATGGTTGTCAGGATTGGCTTGGCCCTAAGATAACAGAGAAGTCACCTAGGCTGTTGTAAAGCACACGTAGCATCACTCATAAGGATGGGTTTTCTGGCAATGCTCAAGATTTATGTGGAAAGGATCTGGGATAAGTAAATATAAATTCTGGGGAATAAGACAGAGCCTGGCTCAGCAGAGAGCAAAGGATCACCAGGTTGCAAATGGCATCCATTCCGATTCTAGGAGGAAGACAGGTAAACATCTCACCCTTTGAGGCATTCCTACATGTTTAGCTTTCTTGGTTTCCCCAGTGCTTGTCTGTGTGCACAAGGACTGTTTGCCCTCTACAAGGCTGGTCTAAGTCCTAGGACAACCAGAGCTGCATAGACCCTATCTCAGAAAAAAATGAAACAAAACACTGAATGATAACACTCAAGCTATGGGGCAGCAGTCAGCAAAGCTGCCACTTTTTGTTGCAATGTCATCTTAGAGCTTCTCTCCAGTGCCTGCTATAAAGTAACTCCTGTCACCCTTTGCTACAGTCTATGGGAGGCTATTGGCTTAGAGTGAGCTCATTTGGCCCTGGATCAAATCAAACTCTACAATGAACATTTCCCGTAGTTAAGTGGGTTGGAAAAGCCTGGTGTAGTGACTCATGCCTTTAATCCCAGCACTAGGGAGGAAAAGGCAG